AAAAAAAACACATAAAGTTGAATTGTCACCCTTTTTAAAACTTTCCTTTTAATAAAAGCATGAAACGATAAATTCAGTTATTTTTGTATGTATCTTATAAATAAGTTATATCAAAAATTATGGGCTAAATTGTGGTAATACCTAGCTTGTATATACATATAAATATAGATAATACCGATCAGCGCCGTAGCCAGGATTTTTTTCGGAGAGGGTTCTGACCAAATATATTTTTTTCACTTTTATTTCAACATAGATTGATAAAAAGAAAAATACTGATCAACGCAAAGTCCAAGCTAGAGCTTGCATACTGTATACACCTGCATAAATAAAATCTTTCTAAGAAATCTAACTAAATATTTATTTTTTTATGAAAAATTGTTGAATTTTTGCCAAATTTGGCGCAAAGTTTGAAACTTGAATTTATACGATTTTTGTTAAAGAGTAAACTGTATTTTTATTAAAAAAATAACTAAAAGTAAATAACAACCAGTAATGTTTTAGCAAAAAACAAAACCATCTTCAATTGTCGTATACAAATTTAAGAGTACCGTTAATTTCTTCATGATCCAATGATCGGATCTAAACCAAATTAGTATGACACCACCTTGGAGGTACTTACTTTCTTTAAAAAAAAAAACTATAGATAACATACATACATAAAAAAATAAAAAGACAAAAAAATAAACATATGATAAAAATTAAATGAAATAAAGACTTTTCATTATAACAAAATAAAATCCAAAAATTAAAAGAAAGTGAAATTAATGGAAAATGAAATTATTTAAAAAAGGAAAAATAAACAAAACAATGTTTCTAAAAATTTAATTAAAAGCTGACAAAATATTTTTCTTAAATAAGCAATAAAATCTAAAAATTAAAAGAAAATTAATCTGAAAAAAACGTATTTAAAAAATAAAAAATTAAATAACTTCCTTAAAATTAAATGATGTAAAAGTGTATCTTTCTTTTTTAAAAAATAAATCTAAAAATTAAAAGAAACAAGAGAAATTAAAAGAAAAAGAAATTAAATAAAAAAGACCATAAATAAAAAAGTTTCTAAAAATTAAATTGATCTGTAGTTAACTGCCGATTCTGAGTTAACTAAGCACTGTGAATTCGGTCCTTAAAAGAATAAAATCTAAACAACAAATCGAACTCGGATCTTTCGTATTGCACGCTCCTGCTTTGTTCACTCGACCATTGCGACTGTTGGAGCGACGCGAGATAAATGATAGCCAGGTGTATTCTCCCAAAATACATTTTCACCATGATTGGTGAATGAGAGAGTTTTTTCTCAGACTCTTGTCTTTTCATCTGTCTTTCATTTGACTTACGATCAAACGTATCTGTCCGCTTACAAAACCCTGTCTATTACTTAGCAGCTGGCGTAGGAGCGAGACTGGTTACAAGTATATTTCCATAGGTGTGATGTTGTTGAAAGCGCCCTCGATGCCTAGGAAGGCTATCAAAATATATTCCTTTGTCGCTAAGGATTTCTCAATGCGGCACACGTTTTCGTGCAACGCTGTTTTAATGGATTTTCCGTAAACATAATTAAATTTTAGCCATTTTCATTCTTTATTAGATAACCAAAACCTTGTTGATGATTTTTTAATGTATAAGTAAAAAGATTTAAGATACATAACACGACAATATATACATTTATGTTATTTTATAAACTAACATTAAAAAAAGGAAATAATTAAAATACTGCTGTTATCACATAATTTTGCTTTGGCGCGCCTATTACCAAGAGCCTAATTTGTTACCTTACAAAAATTCAATAATTACCTAGTTTTTTGGTTTTGTAATTTTTTTAGCATAATAACAATTATGTATATTTAACAATTTTGTTGAGCTTGATCATTTTCGCGTTGGGAAGTACCACTGCAGTAGTTACAGAAACAAGCTTTAATTATTTTTACAAAAAAATTTTGATGGCAAGTTTATAGAAACTAAGCACAGTTATAGATTTGTTCGTTCAGCCCTTCATTTTTTCTTTGGTCGCACACCTTTTCACTTTTATAATTTCAACTAAAATTTTCATTGCTTTCATTTTTGCTCTGCCCTATCCGTCCCTCTCGCTCTTCTCCTCCCTCTCACATGTATACCGCTGCTTGCTGCTCAATCCACTCAAAATGATATGGCACGCTTGCGTATACGCCAGGATAATGTTGAGCACAGCCAATGCCCCATGAAACGATGCCCACCAGCGTGCCATCAACAACCAGCGGACCACCAGAATCACCCTGACAAGTATCCTTGCCACCCTCCTCAGCGGCTGCGCATAACATCTCCTCTGTGATAACATATTGCTTCGTCGCATACTGCACACAACATTCCAAGCTATCTACAATTTGCAGTTCTACTGCCTGCAGCACTTCAGACATTTTCTGCGCATTTTCATCGCTTTTGCCCCAACCTGTGGCGACAGCGTGTGCACCTACAACGGTCGCCGTGCGTGCCAGCACGATAGGCTGCACGTTGGCTGAATATGTCAAAGCTTCCTTCAGAATTACCAAACCAACATCATTCGCATGCGTTTTCTTCACATAACCACTGTGATAGATTAGCTTCTGCACCGCTACACCCTGTTCAGCTGAGTCGGCGAGCGTGGTTAAACCGGTAACAACGCGTAGCGTGTAAGCGTAACGTCCTTTCAGGCAATGTGCGGCAGTAATAACAACACGCGGCGCATAAATCGAACCGCCACAGATATGTATAAGCACAGCGGAATCAAGCCCGATGGATACTTGGTAAGGATGGTTGGCTATATCCGTTTGTTGGCCACCCACAATGCGTCCTTCTTGTTGCTCAAGATTGTTTGGAATGTCTGAGTTGACTGTTATGACGCCAGCTTGAATTCCAAGCCAGCAAAAAGAGGCCAGCATAAGTAAACGGAATTGAAAAGCGCTGGTCATGGTGGGTTTATAAAGCGGCTGAATTGGTAAACGATGTGCTCAAGACAAATTACACAAATACTTTGTTGGCGCGCCGGTGGAGATTAAGCGCTTTTATATGAAAACGTTTAAATCGTTGGGCAAAGTACGATAGGCATAAGACACAATTAGAACTTTAGTTAAATACCTAAAAATGTGTACATTAGGTTGGTCCAAAAAAATGCATGTGAAAAAAGTAGCGTCCGAATTTAAATGCTCTCACGCTGTAGGATTGTCACCCTTTGTTTCTTTGCTAGAGCTTCCGAAATATTGCAAAAAACGCTATTTTTTGACACTTTTACCAAGTTTTTTGCAAAACCTGTGGCTGGTGGAAACTTTATACTTACGAATTCACAATTAGCACCAAACACCTATCAAAAATAGCTTTAACATTGCCGCACCAAAACTTTTTTTTCCTGTGTTATTGGAGAAGTCTCCTTAGGAGAAACAGAGTTTTTCGATCGAAAAATATTGATTTTCAAGAATTCTATACCATATCTAAGTTGTTTTATTCTATTTACAAAAAAACCAGACTATACTTTTTATGGACCACCCTAATATACATAAATATGTGTTTAGTTTATGTAGTACACACATATGTATTTGCAAAGGCAAAGTGCTGTGCCATAATTTAATTAACAAGAAATTCCCCTCTTCTATGCGTAAGAAACAATTGGAAAACAAACATCTATCTATGGCATCGCCAAAATAAACTTTTCCAGACCATTTTGAAGCTGCTTGCGATGTAAGCACTGTTTTGTTTACTCAGGAGCTAAACACCGCACCAACGGCCGTCTCTTCTGCGAATCGTTGGTGAATCACAAAAAAATTTACTTCATGTTTAAAAAAGCCATCATCACTGATGACCAAAAAGTCAACACTTACGACAACGTCAAGCAACCACAGTCGTCGTTGAATTGCGGTGAGTCTGCGGAAACGTTGGCCAAGCCAGTATTGAAGGCCAGGAAGGTTTTGCTGTGTGTTTGGTGGATTTGGTTAGCAGAGAATCATCCATTGTGAGTTACTCTCCAACGGCAATACTCTCTAATACGTACCGTCTATATTGCCAATAATTGTGCCATTTGAAGGAAGCAATCGCCCAGCTGCGCCCAGCTTTGACAAATTCCAGAGGAATTGTTTGCCATCAGGACAACGCTACTTTACACAAATCTATAGTGACACATCAGAAGCTCCGGAAGCTTGGTTGGTCGACTCATATATGTATAGCCCCTGAAGCTTAGCCAAACTTCCCACAAAGGATACAGCTATTTATTTTCCAGTTTGGTTCTGGTTTTTTTCGATAGAATAGGAGTTACAACTCCTAAACATTATTTTCTCTTACAGTAGCTGGTTTTCCAGAGTATACGTAAAAATTTGTCCGTTAAGCAGGCTGCGGCATAATGGAATCCCACAGAGCAGATGGAACCGGACCACCGTTGCCGTTTTGGTAATTTTTAACCAAAATTGGTAATTTTATTGTTGCTTTTTCGAATTTGGTAACTTGGTAATTTATTCTTCAGATTAGTAACTTTTTGGAATTAAGTGAATTCATTCCTTCCGTGAAAGTCGCTAATGAATACCAAATCCTTTTGACCGTTCATGAAAGTTGATAATGAACAATCAATCACTTGGATCCCTTCCCATGACATGGAGCTGCCTACCCCACAGGTACGGGGCGGTAATATCGAGAGTTTCCTCAGACGTGATTAGTATCTTTTTATTGACAGCCTCGACATCTATCCACTCCACGCTTTCCTTCATGACACACAAGGCTTCCTGTGTTCTCCAGGAGAGAACCCGCAGTGGTCGCACGCGAGACACGTCATCCACCTCACCATCATGCACGTTTTTTCGATGGTTATTCATAGAAATTTTTGAGGTAAAATAAATTACGCGATAAAAACCTAAGCCCCTCATTCTGACAAGCGTGGTATTTTGAAGATCCTCCTTCCTCCACTAAACGGGTTACGTAGTATGGGTGCGTTCCCTAATGGGTATGCGCTCTTTTAAATATTCGTTGTAGCTTGTGTAAATGTAAATCGCTGGATGAACATGTGATTGTTGTTGCAATTGTATTTATTTTACCACTAGCAACAAGAAGTCATAGGGTATAGATCGGCAAAATAAGCATTTATCGCTGAAAAATTCGATCCATTCAAAAAGCATGACATGAATATTCTCACAAATTCTGATATTCTCGGAGTGTGAACTAGGAATTATATGTTCTACCTTTCATTTGACTTTTCGGAGTAGACAGCGCACGATAAAGCGATTAAGTTTATTGCGTTTTATGCAGGTAACAATTATCCATAATTATCTATCATAAAATTCAATTAGATCGCCATTAATACCAATTTAAGGAGAATAGACGATTTCGACAAAGAATGAGCGAGCGTCGATAAAAAGCGGGGAGGGCAATACAAATGCTTAGGAAAGATAAAGCCATATTAAAAAATAATGCAAGAAAAGAAAAAAA